GCTCTTCATTAATCTCATGTCCTTTGAGCTAGGGACCTCCTAAATGGAAGTACAGAACAAGGGGCCATCTGCAGAACCCATGCTTCCACATCTCTTCAGCCATAACACTCACTGGTTCATGCTGTGTGTAGGACTTATGCCTGAGCTGGGAAGCCAAGAGTACACTTTCATTTAAAGAATTGGTCAGGTGGTTGGTTTGATCAGTTCAGAAAAAAATTAGACTTTTTGGGGGTGGTGGTGATGGTCTTATTTTGTTGAGGAAACCTCAGGTAACAATTTTAAATTTAGCCATTTTGGGGAACACCAATATACATATGCAGCTTCACAGAAGACAAAACCCCTATCTGATCTTGCACATTGGACCCCCTATTCCTTATGTGTAAGTGGGATGGTTTTAGAAATAATTTAATTTCCCTTTCAAATAGATAAAACCTGACTTCTGAGTTTTAGTTTCCTTTAATTGTATTTCTCTTTGACTTCAACTGGAGATAAAACATTTGTTTTTCATTTTGTCCATTAAAAAGCTAAAATGCCCTCTTGAAAAAAAGATCTTTTTCACTTTGAATATTTTCTTTTTCTGTTCTTTATCTGCTGGACACAGTCTCTATTCCTGGACCATTGATTTTAACATAAGAGAGAATCACTACAATATTCCATCATTGCTTTTGTGATGACTCTCCTCATTTTGAGTGATGAAAAGTTACACCCAATTTCCTTCCCTAAAGTATGAAAGACCATTTCCATTCCTCTTTATTACTTATTAATTCATCCAACTGTCTTATTGTGAAAGAAATCTACATATTTTGTGTTGAAATGCATAGAGATGGTCAAACTTTTCAAATGCTCACTGCAGATACCTAATGAGGACAGAAACTAGCAGGGTACCCTCCAGATGTTCTGAACTATGTTGGTAAGAATTCCATAGTTTCTTCATTTGTAATAAGCAATTGGAATGCATTTTTGGCCTCCCATTTGTCTCAAGAACACTGCTGAGAGTGTTCTCCACTGTGGAGTGGGGGTAGAGAGAAGCTTACTTAGGTTTGAAAGGAATCATGGCCTGGTCTGGTAGCAGTCTTGTTGAGCAATAACCTTGAACAAAATATTAATTGAATGTCTTTAAAAAGCCAGAAATTCTTCTCTTAGACCCAGAGGCTAGGAAGATAAAGGCATTGGCAAAGTCAGTGTCTGGAGGGGGTCCACTTCCTTGTTCAGAGATGGATGTCTTTTCACTGCAACCTCACGTAACAGAGGAGGTATGGGAAGTCTTTTTTTTTGGCTATACTGGGGTTTGCACTCAGGGTCTCATGCTTGCTAGGCAGACACTCTACCATTTGAGCCATCCCTCCAGCCCTCTTTTGCTTTTATTATTTTTTCAGATAGGGTCTTGCACTTTTTGCAAGGGGGAGGCCTCAGACCATAACCCTCCTACTTGTGCCTCCCATATAGCTGGGATGACAGGTGTGCATCACCATGCCCAGCTTGTTGAGATGGTGTCTCACTAACTTTTTGCCTCGGCTGCCCTAGAACCACAGCCTCTCAAGCAGCTGGGATTCCAGTATGCACCACTGCATCAGCTCTGGATTCTTTAAAAGGGCACTAACCTCACTAATTAAGGCTTTTCATGACCTAAGGCCTCATTTCCTAAAACCAAAGATTTCAGTATATAAATTTGGGGTACATAAATATTTGGGTAACAAGTTTTTTTTTTTTCCAATTCAAGAAACTTCACCACACTCATGCTACTCCAAGTAACATAATGATGTGCTTGAATCCAACCCAGTTATTGGGAATTCTAGCAGTTATCGCATGGGTCCTTTTTTATGCTTCCCTTGCTTGGAACCTCCTAAATCTAGTCTTTAGACAACTTTTCATGCCCAGCGTTTTTGGAAATAAAACCTTTCTTTCCCTCTCCTTTGCTCCTATAATCCTCAACTTTTATTCCTATTCCTTTCTGCCTCTATGTGTAGGCCTCATTTTTTTCATTTTCTGTTTTTGGTGGGACTGGAGTTTGAACTCAGGGACTCACACTTGCAAAGCAGGCCCTTTACTGCTTGAAGCCACACCTCCAGTCCATTTTGCTCTGGTTATTTTGGAAATGGGTCTTGCAAACTATTTCCCTGAGCCCTCAAACCATGATTCTCTCTGTCTCAGTCTCCCAAGTAGCTAGGATTACAGGTGTGAATCACTGGTGATCAGCTTTTAAAAATTTTTTTAAATTGTCTTGTTATTCATATGTGCATACAAGGCTTGGGTCATTTCTCCCCCCTGCCCCCGCCCGTTCCCTCTCCCCCCCCACCCCCTCAATACCCGGCAGAAACTATTTTGCCCTTATCTCTAATTTTGTTGAAGAGAGAGTATAAGCAGTAATAGGAAGGAACAAGTGTTTTTGCTGGTTGAGATAAGGATAGCTATACAGGGAGTTGACTCACATTAATTTCCTGTGTTTGTTACCTTCTACGTTAATTTTTTTTATCTAACCATACTGTTGATGCTTTACTCAAAACTCCTCCATTGAAATCAAACTGTGAGATTTTGTAACAGGAAATTTAGTTAGGGCTCCTCAGGGCAGCAGGACATGGATCAAAATTCAAGATTGCCTGATCTCTGTTCTGTGGAGGGAAGGAAAACATTTCCTTTGTTTTAAGAAAATATTCTTTCTCTTCTCACCCTTTGCTCCCTAGGCTCCATTAAAATAGGCCAATAGATTTTAAACAGCAGAAAATATAAAGTACTTGAATTTACATACCAAATCACATTGAATGTCCTAGTACAGAAAGTCCTTAGAGTTATAAAAAAAAATCATGAACTATTCCTTCAGGTAATACTTCTCTTTGAAAATTTAAGAAACAGGATTACTTGTAATTATCTGCATATTTAAAGAAATGGAACTCCCTTATAAAATATATCTTTAGGGATAACTAGAGATTCAATGCTGGTTTGGTTGGTTACCATGATCTTGGGAAGTTAACCTCTGTGACCCCTCTTTGCCTTACCTGAGATATGATAACAAAAATGATCTCCTCACAGGGTTCACGTGAGAATTATGAAGACAATGTACTGAAATAACTTTTCATAATTTCTGGTATCAAAAACAATAAAATTTGACAATGTTGACACTGATGACGTGTTCTTTAAGTAATTACACATAGCTATACCTTGAATTAAAGAATTTCCCCCAGGCATTATAGCTCATGCCTGGAATCTGAACTACTCTGGAGGCAGAGACTGGTAGATTCATAGTTTGAGGCCAGCCTGGACAGTAAGTTCTTAAGACTCTATCTCAACCACTAAAAGCTGAGTGTGCTGGCACATGCTTGTCATCCCAGGTACATAGGAGTTGTAAACAGGATGATAAAAGAGATGGGACTATGGCTCAAGCAGTAGAGCACCTTCCTAGCAAGCACAAAGCCCTGAGTTCAAACCCCAGTACTGCCAAAAAACCCAAAATGTTCTCTATCCCTTAGGTTATGTTGTTATGTTTACTTTTTCCCTTTCAGAGTTAAACTACAACACAGTTACCATTCCTCAGAATTTATCAGTTATACTACTTAAGCAAGTTTTTCTTTATTGATAATAAACACTCCACCTTGGCAGTGTCATGCTTGAGGGCTCTCTGGACCATTCAAAATTCATGATGTCCCATAAACACTCAATTTATGGGCAATAAAATGGAAAACCTGGATTAGCAGCAGCATATTGGTGCTTTCTTCACTGAGGGCCACGTATAGAATAACCAACCAAGTTGACATTTATTTATCTCTTTAACAATATCCATTTTCTACTTTGCATCAGTGTTCTACACTTGGAGATAGAGCAGGAGACAAGCAAATCCTTGGCCTCATGCATGATACCTGAAACACAACTACTTGCGAATTAGAAATAAAAGTGTAGTTAAGGTAAAAATCTCATTTTCTTTCTGTGAAACTTTACTAAATTGCATCACATGGGAAGAAAAACACACATCAAGGTTTAAGAACAATTGTGAAGAATTAAGGATAAATTGCCAATCATACATTTAATCCCTACTGATACTGCAGGGTGTAAAATTGGATAGAATACATGGTTTCCTTCTAGAACTTTTGATCTAGTGGAGGACATATTTCATCTGCTATAAAGCATTATAATTTCTTCAGTGTAACAAACAGCTGATATCAGAAAAAAAGCTGAAGGAATTACATATCATGTAGCCACTAAAAGTGAAGGGCTCACTCTGTGTCACCATTTCAGAATGAAAGCAGACCTTTTCTTTTTTTTATTACAACTGAGACATTAGTGCCTCTAGGAAATAGTTATGCCTAACATTTTAAGTCCTTTTAGTATTACCATTTCATCAACTTATGTACATTTTTGATATTTTAGACTAAAATATTTTGGCTCCTGCACTCTGATTGAGAAGTCTTTCTTGAATATATAAAGCAGAAACAAAACCAGATAATCATTGTACAATTAGGGAAAAATAGGGCAGCATACGGAAATGTTAGAGTTGCTAGACTGATTTAAAGCAAGCTCCAATCTGGTCAGGTGAATCTGCGAAAAATTACTGTAAAAGGTGCCATTTAAGCTTAGCCTTAGAATAGGTGGAGTATCTGAAGGAAGAGGGTCAGAGAAGGCAGACAGAAGAGCATATGCTTCATGTGTCTGGAGACAGGAATAAAGAGTATAGGAAGAACAATTACCCTAAGCCAGACATGGTGCTGAAGGGGGGCAGGTCATTTTATTTTAAAATCATAGAGAATTATTTATTGGACACAGTAAGTAGAATCTGTAACATTGCAACTAGTTTAAATCTTTATCTTGGGTAACAATAGCTCTATTCTGTTGAAAAATCTCAACTAGAATAATCCTAGAGGCGCGCATTCGTTCCCATACCCCAAGGTTGGTACTCGGTTTTTGTCTCTTTTAGGACTAAAACTTCCTCTAGCAAAGGTTTCCATATATATTGTTTTACATAATGTTGATACTGTGCTATTACTGTGAATATATCAAGAAGGTAGTTTGTTTTGCAGTACTGAAGATCAAATCCAGGGCTGTGTGCTCTACACTGTTACACTCCAGCCTTCTATATTAGATCTTAACTGACTTTTGACTATTATACATAAATCTCCATTTTCCCAATGTTATATAATCATTTCTTGTTAAACCATTATTCAGTATTTACATAATTTATGAGTGACTATATGACCAGTATTATTTACACTTGAGATATGCAGTTTAGTTTTTGACCTTTTTATTTTTCTTAGGGTTTATGATTACCTCAGTTTTGTTTTCGTACTTTTGAAAAATCTGCAATTATTATTTCCGACTCTGAAAAATCTCTGGGATATATTCACATACACTAGGTCCTATTTTTCTTTTACAGATATTACACCTGAATCCTACATTTTTAGCCATTTCCTGTTGACTTCATGCTGTTATTTCCTCATCCTCTCTAAGTTACACTATTATTTTAGAAATTTTATGGCTATCTCGTAAGTACCAAATGTCCTTTCCTCTTCACAACGGATTGTAAATCTCAGCTTCCTACTTTATAAGGACACCATAACCATTCCATTTACCTTTCCCTCCCTTCCTCCTTCAATACTCCCATTTGTCAATTGTAATTTTACATCAAGGTTGGTAACATTCACACTTTACATAATTAAGTGTTCCCTTAAAAGATGAAAACCATACACAGCATTTGCACGATGATGAGTTAAATGTTATTCACGGAATAGCCACGCTTGGTGCTATGACTGGATTTCCTTTTCTTTGGCTGCAAGGTCTTAACACACGTGCTCCACACAGGAACAATGAAATACTACTCCATTTTCTCCCATTCCCACCATTTTGTTCAAAATTCTGCACCTTTTCATGTATAGTATTTGCTGGATGTTTTCCTGTACAGTTTTGTTTTAGCCAAAAGTTTCAATGTTTCTTCTTGAAGAAACACATTCCTTTCACATCACATCCTGAACACCATCGGCCTCTTCAATGTCTTGCCTGCAATCCAATCCAACAGTCCGGAAGTTTGCTGATTTCTTAACTAACAGTGAGTTTGTTACATTCAATTTTTTTCTGAAAAAAAAATACTTAAAAAAAAATAATGCATCCTGTCCCTTTTGTCATATCCTAAAATTGGCCTGGGGTTTAAGGATTCACAACTTCTTAAATATCTTCATGGATCTTAAGTTCTGCGTTTCATGAGCATGTCTTCCCTCTTTCTAATCCCTGCAGGATCTGAGACTTCGCATCACCATCAGGGAAAAACGTCCCGGAACGCAGTGCGCAGGCGCAGAGCCGTCTTCTCTCGCGAGACTGCAGGGTAGTCACCCGCGACTCCGCGAGACCGCAAGGTCCCCTGGGAGTCGGCCATCATGCTGGAGCGAGGAGGCCGGCAGTTCAGTCATGGTTCTAAATGTGTACCTGCAAGCGGATGTTGAGGATCACCGAGCCTGCGACGTAGAAGTACGGAAAGTTCATGCGCAGCTGCCAGGCCAGCTCGAAGAAGGCGAGCAGAGTGCGGGAGAGCCCCTTGCAAAAGACCCCGTACGAAGAGGTCACCGCTGCCGAGCTCGCGGCCCTGACGGCCATGGAGGGCGGCGCCGCTGCAGGAGCCATAGGCTTGCTGTCAGCGTCCACTCAGCAGCTGGAGCCGAGGGTCGCTGCAGACTCCGGAGCCACGGCCGGGACCTGAGAAACCCGGGGCAGAGCGGCCGCCCGCTCGCACCTGCGCCTCCGCCGCGCCTCCGCCGCTCCTCCCCTACCGCGCGGGCGGCGGGCGGCGGCGTGGCTCCGCCCCTTCCTGTCTGCGGCTGCTGCGGGGGTTTCGCCGTTTGAGCTCCGCCAGTGCCTGATCATCAGCTGGAGGTGTTACGTAACGCGCTGCTTCCTCTTTCAGAGGTGAAAGCCGAGTCAGATGATGTGATTTTTCCCAAAGGCACACGCTTTGTAAGGACCAAAGATGGGTTAAAACTCGGGTTCCTCCGCTGTGCGGTCTGAGCTCTTACCCTTTTGATTTTATAAGGTTAACTTTGATATTAGGGCAGCATGGCCTCCCTAGGGAAGCCAGTACAGGCACAAAGTCTCTATTCATCATACACCATAACTGTAAAAAGCCAAAATCATAGGCTGTGGATTTATGTATAGTAGGACTCTAGGTTGCAAGTGACAAATTACATTTATTTAAGCAAACAAGTGCGCAAACACACATATACATACTTATTTTTTTTTGTAGAACAGATGTACAAACTTACACCCCTACTCTTGTAAACCTGTGAAAAATTCATATTAGTTATGGAATCACTTTGGCATGGAATGCACTTGTGAAACCTTGGCTGGACCCCAAAGGGTGGAATACTAATATCTACTTCCACACCCTTAATACCCCTATAGTCATATCCTAATGTGTCTCCCATAGTGACACATTAAAATACCACATTTTCTGGTATTTAAACGATGCATATTTCATTATCTTCGCCAATCTTCTATTTTAACTAGAAAGCACTGTATTTTCATTGTATGTAGCCTCTACATTTATGGTTTATGCAAACCTGTGGTTTCTGATTATAGCCTTCAGATTACAACCTAGTTCTGAAAATCATTGTTAAAATATTCCACATCTTGCCTCCTACACTGTATCTGTGGCATCTATTCAAAGCACAATTACTATAGCCTAGAGCATTTCTGTTTTTGTATATCCTACTGATATGACATACCAATAGCATGCCATTGTTCGAAATTTGTAAAACCTAATTGTGTGCCCACAGCTATAATTTCTTTTGCTCTTGTGGTACTAGTACCATCCTAACAACTAGACAGAGGGGCTGATTAGTTATGAATCCCCAAAATACCGCAGAGCAGTGTAAGATAAATGGTGATCAACTCTGAGAACTAGGAGAATATGTATAGTTTTCAGTACATGGGCACAATTTACTCTCTGAAAATTGAAAGAGTCCGTATTCAGCATTCACAACTACGGAAGTCATTAAGTCCCTGGATCTTCAACATTTGTAGTTACGTGCACTCCATGTTTCTTCTACTTCTCCTTTTTGCTGACTCCCTCTACTTCCACTGGCCCCAGCTCTGATTAACTCCACGGAAATCCTGTCTTCCACCCTGACCTTGGGAATATAATACCCACTGAAAAAATGGCCAGATTGAAGGCCTGTTCTAATGAGAGGGGATAGGCAAAGACCAGTCACAAAGTTTCAGATCTTAACCCATGTCCTAGAGCTGTTGAAGGATTTCTATCAGATGAAACTGATGTGGAGGTGGGATAGGACCAATATTTTAGATGGTTGTGTTTTTTATGTTGTCTCTTGAACTTTAGAGTTGAAGGGCGAATCTACACGTCTTTCCAACAGGTACATAGGAGGAAGCTATGAAAAATAATACATGACTCAAACCATTTCTGTGGATGTTACTTTATTGTCTTCACTTGGTCTTTCCCAGTCTTTTAAAATCCCCTGTTTTTTTTTACTCTGTATTCCAGCTTTAATACTTTTAAAAGTCTTACTTAGCTTGATGATCCTTTGGAAAAGTTTTAAGGTGAGTTGTGCTAATTCTGCACAGAAGTGTATTGTCAAATTCTCAATTCCCCTATTGAAAATCTGCCAACACTAATGGTCTATAATGTAAGAAGCAGATTTAGAATGCAAGCATTGGATTCAGTGCTTAGATGCAAGCTTAAAGGCAGGAGAAAAATGTGTGACACCTTACTGATGTTGCTGTGGAAAATAATATACTACTTGACATGACAGAAAACCTTGGCTTTCTGAAAGCTGTACAAATTTGTTTTTTGTAGTAGGTAACAAACAAATCCAGTAGAAGTTCATAGAAAAACTTTTTTTTTTTTTTTTGGCTGGGGCATGACAGCTTTAATTTTCTTTTAAGAGACAGAGTCTTACTGTGGTGCCAAAGCTGGCCCTGAACTCCTGGGCCCAAGTAGTCCTCTTTCCTCAGACTCCCGAGTACTTGGGATTATAGGTGTGTACCATTAAGCTCAGCTTGCCATAGCTTTAATATGTAAGAATAGTTTGGCATCATTGTAATTTTCAGTGCAGTATTATAGTAGCTAAACATATTCTTTTAGTTAGACATTTCCAGGAAGATTTTTCTTCTCTGTTCTCCCTGCAGACATACATAATGTGTCTAGATCCTTAGCTTTGAGTTTGCCTTTTCAGCTCTTGTAATGGCAAATTAAGTTCTCAGAACAGATTCTTTTAGAGAAGATAATGAGTGCATACTGATATTTCTAACTCACATTTTATATGCTTACATTTTTTTCCTCTGTGCTGAAAATCTTGGTCTGTAACAATAATTTCTGTATGCATCTGTGCATATATATAGTTTCAAACTAACAATACTTAGGATATTCTGGCAACACAATTATTTGCACAATTTAAGATGTCTCTTAGGATCTTTCCTACTGGAGATAAAAATTCAAAATAATCATGTTTTAAGATCATATGAGAGAATACATCCTTTTAGTTAAAGCATTGATCAAACAGATTCTTCATCTTATTTTTGATTTTTAGGGATTAATATTCCTTTGAGTTTGTAATTTGGTTTATTATCCTTCAACACATTTTCATGGTAGTAGAGCAAAAACTTAAAGTGTATTAAGAGAAGTGTAGCTTCTTTTTGTCCTCTCATCTCTTGCTTCCTTTTCTATAGATAACCATTGAAAATTTAGTTTTGGATTTGGCCTGCTACCCTTCTTAGACAATACACAGCCTACTACACATTAATGGTATTCTGCTTTTTATTTTTACGTAATAATTACTAGGAATGACTAGATAGTACTACATAGCAATTTTGTAATTTCATTTTACAGCTGAATAATACTCCATTTATTCTTTCTATTTGTAGTTAGTCATGAATTCAGGGTATAGAGGCTTAGAAAATTTCAGCACATTTCCATATTTGCCCAGGGGTTAGTTGACATTATGAGAGAGAGAGAGAGAGAGAGAAGAGAGAGTTTGTGATAAGGCAGTATTTATGGGGGCTATTGAGTTCTTGTACATCACTTTTCATATTTCAATTACTATAGAACTTGGTCACACTTAACTGTACAGGAGGATGGGAGATGTTCTTTGTAATCAGGAAGAGAGAGGAGGAGAGTACGGATTTGGGTGAGCTGTGTAGAATCCACCAGTCATCATGCCTGTACTTAAATCACTATGTGTCCATTCCATACATAGAACACATCTATCCCCTTCCCCAGGAATATAACAAAATCCCATATTTAAATCATACCACCTTTAAGTCCAGAGTTTTTGAGTAATAGGCAGTTTGTCATCACTTCTGGATGTGGTCTCTTGGCCTAGAAATAAAAACAAAAAGCACAAGGTGGATACCCTCTTCCATCCCCCACCTCCAGTTTTAAAGTTAAGTATGGGCTAATAGACATGGATAAATTTCTCCCATTTAGAAGAAAATAAAATGCAACTGCTGATGGTCTATAGCAATGAAAAGCCCTCCTTTGTAGGTTCTGTGGAGCCACTGCTCTGGCTTTGCAGAGAAATTTCTGAACAGTCCCTGTGTCTGAACTCTGGGAGAAGCTCCGTCATCCTCTGCTCCCTGTGGCTCTTGGCTCCACCCCCTGGATGTGATCCATCATCATCCTTGATGACATCTGAAATGGATGATGGGGAGAATACCCTCCTGGTGGTTACAAATTTCAAGCTGCCTACTAAATAGTACAAATATGGGAGCTAGAGAGTCATTTTGATTTATTAAAGTTTTTACTGTTCCACTCAGTACTTACTGACAAATACAAAATTCTCAAAAACTTAGGAAGCTTTTTTATTATTGCTTTCAGGTACTTCCATGTTCCACATATAAAAATTTCCATAAGGATTTTCCTCATGCACAAGTTTGTGTCTCAATAAATAAGTACATTTTAAAAAACTTATCCCATACCTCTTTCATCCACTTTAATAGCAGCTATCTTGAAGGCACCTGGCAGGGAAGAGCCTCTACATTGAATGGCAAAGTCTTCACTGGGCCTTTACTGTTACTGGGTGTTTTTTTTTTTTTTCCCAGTCTCATTTTGGCTTGAAAACCAAAAGCTATGAGATTTTTACCACCCTGTGAAACCTCAAATTTCTGAACTCTTCCTTTTAACTTCAATTTGGAATCTGGTCAGTTCTTTCCCTTTCTTATCTTCTCTCATAATGTCTTGCTAAATATTTTGGAGAAAAACTCTGGCACAACATTTTGGCTTTCATTAACCACTTTTTGTAGGGTCAGAGGCTCATTAACCATGGCTTGACTATAAGTTATTGTATTTGTTTGTGGCACTGAGGATCAAACCAAGGTCTTGGGCTTGTGAGGCAAAGGCCTGACTACTGAACCACATCCCCATGCTTTTGCTTTATAGTTAGTTTTCAAATAGGTTGTCATATTTTTGCCCAGGCTGGCCTACCTATGCTTTCCTCATAGATGTGATTGCAGGTAAGTGGTGCCATGCGCAGCTTTATTGGTTGAGATGGGAGGGGTGGGGTCTCATGAACTATTTGCCTAGGCTGAGTTTGAACTATAGTCCTCATCTCTGCCTCCTGAGTAGCTAGGATTACTGACATGAGCTACCAGTGCCCAGCTAGATACCAAATATTTTGGACAGTTAACTATATTTGTATTGTTACTTCCAGAGAACACAAATTGTATTCACACAGTAAAAAGTGTGTGTGTGTGTGTGTGTGTGTGTGTGTGTGTGTGTGAGAGAGAGAGAGAGAGAGAGAGAGGGAGAGAGACTACATGAAACATGTGAGCTGGGGTATTTTGTTAGCATAATTTTTTTTTAGTACTTGGTCAGAGAAAAGAAGACATAGCTATTGCAAAACACATATTTTAGTGTAATGGTTGTATATATGTGTGTTTATGTACTGCACCTTTGACTGCTGTAATAAAACAACCCAGATTTAGTCCTTGAAATATAAGATAGAAAATTTTCTGTTTTAAACTTTTAAAACTTAAATTTATTTTAACAGATACACAAAACATAAAATTGTATTAATGGGGATCTTGTGATGTTTTGATACATGTACATATTGTGTATTGTTAAATAATGTAAAATATGTATATCTCCTTAAACTTCATTCCTTTTTGGGAACACATTTAGGCTCCTAGCTTTTGGAATAAATAA